CTCATACCCTGTGAAGCATAATATAACCTTTGTCAAAACTTCCCTTTACTCTAGTCATAGCTAATTCACTCGCATTCCCCAAACTGGGACCAACCTAGCACCTAACCGTGCAATCCACTGCTCACGGCAGACTCCCCAACTTAGCTCAAAGCCATAGGTCCAGATACACTCAATAACTCATGACACTTCTACTCTATTGATGCCCCAATACCATGGTGAGATTAAACTCAAATCATTTGTAAGCTTGTGAAAACACAGATCATCTAGTACTGTAAATCTTCTGCAAATCTCGCATGCATCCCCGCAATAGTGAAGCCCACTCTCTTAAGCGACCCAAAATTTCAAATTTCAACACGTACTTTTCAATTACACATGAGATCTCCTAACATACACATAAGGATCACACCACTTTAGAACACTCCGCATGAGATAACCCACCTGCTTCGCCTCAATATAATATTTCTGTATGCCTTCCACCGTCATACACATTACACAGTTACTTAGTCTTCCTGAGTCTGAACTCATACTGCAACATGAAATTTACTTCACTCCCAACTGGGAGACATGAAAAGATTCTTCACGTGCCCATAACTCGGAGCTACACATCCAATCACAATGGAAATCATAAACTTAATAGTTCATTTATCATCCGGCAGACCTCCCTCGTCACTTCCAAGTCACATAAATACATGTCGCAGAACTAACATACTCATCACGTAGCTAACCAGCCGTCACTCCCACCAACAGGGACAACACCGAACATATAAGTTCAAAACACTTGCTCACACAATCAGCACCTCGGTGCTTAAGCCATAGGCAAAGATTCAGCCTAAAGTCCTCCACACTAGCCCAACATCAAACTCACAAAGATTACATCTCGCCCCTCGATCGTGGAATCACAAGCCATCAAGGCACATCTGATACTGAGCGCTCATGCGCGTATGCGAATGCGTGGAAGAAATTTCAAGAGTTACATTTCAAGCTGAATCAAGGACGCACGATAAGAATTCCAAGAATAAGAAATTTCCTAAAGGTTATGCAGCCTCTCGAGGATAAATACAGACGTCTCCGTACCGATCCGCGAGACTCTACAAAACCTGCTCATGACTTGTGAGACCTAGTAACCTATGCTCTGATACCAACTTGTCACGACTTAGAACAGTATCAGCCCCTCGACTCAGTATCATATCACATGGGTACACGCGCTCAGTGTGGGTGTGCAGACTCCGGAGGGGCCCCTTACGGCCCAAGCGCTATATCAACATAAGGCCTGAAAGCCTTCTCACATCACACTCGAGGCCTGAAAGCCTCCTCACATCACACTCAAGGTCTGAAAGCCTTCTCACATCACACTCGAGGCCTGAAAGCCTCCTCACATCACACTCAAGGCCTGAAAGCCTTCTCACATCACACTCGAGGCCTGAAAGCCTCCTCACATCACACTTAAGGCCTGAAAGCCTTCTCACGTCACTCCAGCCACCTCGTGGCATATAAATGTAACTCAGGCCCTTGGCCTCACTCAGTCCAGAAAACATCATAAGCCCATCGGGCATCAATAAAATAGTAGTGCTCAGCCCAAACAACAGTGAAAATATAAATTTAAGTCTTAAAATTCGATTAAAGTGGCTGCATTTGTAAAATAGTATAATCAATAGGACTAAGTTCAAGTAATATATCAAATAGTGAGGAAGGAGTGATAGAAATCCACGAAGGACTCAAGTAGTCGGCATGAAGCCCAAAATATGGCAAGAAGCCCAAATCATGTTGATAACAAACATATCTCAGTTAAATACGCGGTAATATATCAAACGGGACGGACCAAGTAATAATCCCCAGTAGTAAATAACCCCGCGCTCGTCATAAGGCGCGTATTTCACCTCAACATAGCACTACGTTGTGCAAATCCGGGGTTTCAAACCCTCAGGATATCATTTACAATCATTACTCACCTCGAACCGATGAAATTTCTAGCTCGCAACGCCTTTGCCCCTCAAATCGGCCTCCACGCACGTCGAATCTAATCAAAACCACAACGAATGCATCACAATATGCCAATAGAACAATACCCAATAAAAATAATCAAAAAATATTAAAAATCTCGAAATTAGCAAAAATCCGAGCCCCATGCCCACTTCTCGAATCTCAGAAATTCTCACATCAACGGGTTCCTTATCTCTCCACGAGTCCATACATACCAAGAACTCTCAAATCCGAGCTCAAATGACCTATCAAATCCCAATTTGAATATCAAAAACTCAAGGCCTAGTTTCTTTCATTTTTAGTTAAATTCCATGAATTTCAAGGATAATTCCGCGATATAATCTTGTTTTTAACTCATAAAACATACCTCCAGTCAATCTCCTTCAATCCCTCTTCAAATGCTCCCAAGTAGCTCTCACAATGCTCAAAAATGGTGGAAAATGGGTTTGGGTTCGCGGATGAAATGTTTTTATTATTCTGCCCGGATCACTGTAGCTTACTCTATGCGATCGCATCTTAACCTCTGCGATCGCAGAGCACAAAATTTCCAGTCCCTCAAAATAGCCTATGCCATCGCGACAGACCCCCCCTCCCCCCTCCCCCCCGCGATCGCAATTCATCAACACTTAACACTGTGCGATCGCAACCCTCAGTATGCGATCACATTGAACAATCAAACATCCCCTCAAAATCCTTCTATGCGATCACGGAGACACTCCTGCGATCGCAGAGAACAAATGTCTACAACACTGAACCTGCAATTTCTGCAACATCCTAAGTCCCAAAAACCGTCTGTTAGCCATCCGAAATCACCCAGAGGCCCCCGGGACCTCAACCAAAGGTACCAACACATCTTAAAACATTATTCAAACTTGCTCCAATCATCAAAACACCTCAACTAACACAAAAATCATCAAATTACATCGAGTTCAAGCCTAAGTTCTTTAAAACTTCCGAAACACGCATTTGATCAAAAACCCGACCAAAACACCTCCGAATGACCTAAAATTTTGCACACACATCCCAAATCACCTAACGAAGCTACAGCAACTCTCGAAATCCCATTCCGACCCTCGGATAAAAATCTCACCTATCAACCGGAATTCGCCAAAATACTAACTTCGCCAATTCAAGCATAATTCTACACCGGACCTCCAAAATCACTTTCGATCACACTCCTAAGTCATAAATCATCCCCCGAAGCTAACCGAATTATCGGAATCCATACCCGAGCCCTCTAACACATAGGTCAACATCCGGTTGACTTTTCCAAACTAAGCCTTCCTTTAAGAGACTAAGTGTCTCATTTCATTCCAAAATCAATCAAAGCCAACTCGATCACACAAGACACTGATAATGAAGCATAAAGAAGCAGAAAATGGGGGAAACGGAGCGGTAACTCATGAGATGACGGGTCGGGTCATTACAAAGCTGAAGCAATTGTAGATATTTTGAAGCAATTCAAGACGCGTATTTAATATACAAAGAACTGCTCCAGCTATTGGTTAAACTATACTGCTAACCATTAAATACACCACTAAATCAGTTCCAATTACCATAGCTGCTGTCAAATCAACCATGAAAACCAACACAAAAATGCAGCGTAAAGATCCTACAAAAATAGTCCAAAAAGGTCACCTAAAACCCTTAAAAATGCAGCTCTAAATCCACCAAAGCTGCTGCAACCAGCTTATAAAGAATAGTCCTATAAATGACCACTTGAAAATTGCATAATAGCAGTTCATAGGGCACCAAAAACTCATCGGTTAACAAATATATTCAACATTCAATTAGTTCAAATAACTAACATGTTCAGGAAAAAAAATTAACTGAAAGAGTAAACTAAGTAATGATTAAATTATACAGCATTTCCTTTCAAAAACTACTTGGAGAAGCAAAAATAAATTTCATAGCTAAAGTCATTCCAGTACAACTAATTGTAAATTCTTTTATTGTTTTTACCACATTTTGAACTTTATCTTGGTCCTAAAAAACTTAATTACATACTTTCCAATGGAGGCATGTATACGATCAACCTATGAAAACAGATTCATTATTAGGATGTATCATATTTCTAATAAATTACATATATGTAAGAGTGCACAATTGTGAAGCCAACTTTAAGAAACAGAAAGAAAAATAGTTATACTACACACAATCGTTTCATATATGAGCCAAGTTTCATTATGTTCGTCCTAACAAACTTAACAACAAACTTGTCGATAAAGAGTTTAACTGATATCTGTTATTTTCCAAAGATATATTTTAACATAATATCTATTATTTAGTACAAAGATTCGGTATAGATGAATTGCATAATTTCTACAGTGAGTTCCATATCAATTAAAGAACATTTTATATAGGATTTGAATTACTGGCGATTTTCTTAGACACTTAAGAAACATAATTGTGAGTCCAACTTTAAGAAACAGATAGAAATATTTGTACTACACAAAATCGTTTCGTATATAAGCAAAAATTTTGTACGTTTGTCCTAAAGAAATTAATAGCTAACTTTTCGATGATAAGCTTTTAGAAACAGAATACCGGTACTACACATGATCGTTTAATTAGTACAGTTTATTATGAAAAATATATCTATTAAACCAGCAAAGAGAGAAACTTTAAAACTATTTAAAGTTGAATATGTTACCTTTATATCTTGTAAAATCAACTCTATGTAATATGATATTTCAGGCTTAAAACGATCAAGGATTTTCCATATTTGAACGACTCTAACTTTGAGTTCCATTGCACTAAATTGCTTAAAGTCTGACTAATTTCATGAAGTGTTGAAGCCATATTTGCCAAGTTGTGTATTTTGAGCAGGGAAAAAGGGAATGGAAAATAAAATAAAAGGAGGAGCAGTTGTTTGGGGCATTATTTGCGTAGGAGACAGTTTTTGATTTATGGAGTTAAGTTTTGATGCCCATGTTTTGGGAAGACAATCGTGGAGTATTTTTGTTTTCCTTTCTTTCTATTTATTTTGGGAAGTACAACTGAAGCACACATCATAGATGATGAGTAAGATTCTGAAAGCAAAGAAGACTTTTGAAGAAGCAGGATTCACATTTGAAGACATCAGAAGGATGAGCAAGTGTTCAATCAAGCAAATATATCATGCTTTGAGAGGAAGTTTCAACAAAGTGAGCTGGAAAAGACTGGTGTGCAGAAATGCTGGATGTCCAAGATGGACTTTCACACTAACAATAGCAGCTCATGGGAAGTTATACACTAAAGATAGGCTGAGTAAATGGGGAGTGAAAGTTGATCAGATGTGTGTCCTGTGTACAAAAGAGAATGAAACAGTACAACATTTATTTTTTGAATGCTCCTTTGCAGCTAAGTTGTGGGGTAATCTGCTACAATGGCAAGGGATAAATAGAATAGTATATGGATGGAATGAGGAATTAGCTTGGGCTGAGGACTGGGTGAAGAGACAAAATGCAAACACTGAGTTGTATAAGATGACACTGGCGGCATGTGTATACCATGTATGGCAGGAAAGAAATGCCAGGATATTCGAAGAAAAGGAGAGGAAATGGGAGATGCTGGGCAAGCGGATTATACAAGAGATACATTGTAGAAGCAACAAACGAGTAGAAAAGGCTTTAGGTAGATTAGATTGGTAAATAGTTTAATGTTATAGATATAAGGAAGAAGTAAAGGGGGTAGTGGTACAGAATGATTAGGATATATGTAAAGGGTTATTGATTTACTTGTAAAAATTTCCCTGGTAAATGAAAGTTTAATTACCAAAAAAGAAATTAAATAGAAAACTAATGAAACAACTTGAGAGTCTTTCTTTCTTTTTTTGAATTGGTTAGACATCGTGAAGTGTTTTCTTCCTATTTCTATGTAAAAAATTATCTGTAGAAAACTAATGAAACAACGTGGGAGTCTATTTTTCTGAGTTGGTTAGACATCGTGAAGTGTTTTCTTTCTATTTCTATGTAAAAAAAGTTACCTGTGAATAACTGATAGAAATAATTCTTTTAAACTTTGTAAGTTTTTTTTTAATTCTAATTTATTCTTTGAATCTCCAAATTTATAGGAAGTTGGTCCTAAAAGTTTACACATGTTAATATTTCACCGTGACACTTGGCATAATATCATGAATTTGCTTCTCCTTTTATATATTAATAGATATATAGATAGATTATTTTTATTTTTTATACATATTTAAATGCAAATATAATAACTAATAAGTAATTATGGTCTCTCCTTTTAATAATATATAGATTTATATTATCGATTTTTTTAATTATAACTAATTATAAGATATCTATATTTATTAATTAAAATAAAGTAACCAATTTATATATATATATATATATATATATATATATATATATATGTATATATATACGACCCGAAATTTCCACCCTCGGGAGTCGTGATGGCGCCTACTCGTAGAAGCTAGGCAAGACACACATTTAGAGTCCATAAATACTTTTATGTTAAATTCTTTTTTTTTTACCAATTTAATTAACAGGAAATAAATAACTAAATAACAGCAGAATTCGAGGAAGACTTAGACGAAACAAACCAAAATAAAAGAAAAAACATATGTCTCTACCCAAAACTGGTGTCACAACGTACACGGACTATCTAAGAATACTACATACAAGTGTCTGAAACAAAGAAATAAAGTCTGTCTAGGGTACAAAAGGAAACAGAGCATCAACATAGATAGAAGAGATGCCGGGCCTGCGGACGCCTGCAGGACTACCTCGGGATCTCGCAGACTGAAGGCTGACTCCCGAACTACTGTTGCGCACCGCATGCTGCTCCGGTATCTGCACATAAGTGCAGAGTGTAGTATCAGCACAACTGACCCCATGTGATGGTAAGTGCCTAGCCTAACCTCGGCGAAGTAGTGACGAGGCTAGACCAGACCACCACATAAACATGTGCAGTTATAAAACATATACAACGGAAAGAAAAATACAGAGATAACCAGTCAATATGGGAGGGGAGCATGCTATGGGAAAAATAACAAGTCCAAGTAAAAGTCATCACATAAAGAAGGAAACAACATAGCTCAAACATTAATAAAGAATCAGAAAGCAGCAAGTGCACGACATCACCCATCGTGCTTTTACTCTCATCCTCACCAAGCAATGATATAATAAAACGTGCACGGCATCACTCTTCGTGCTTTAACACTCTTACTCACCCAAACAACAATCACAAACAAGGGGCAAGGGAAATAAATAAAATAATAATAGAAATCCCGGCAAGGGAACACAATTAAACAATCAAATTTCGGCAAGGGTACAACATCAATTATCTCGACATCCCGGCAAGGGAAAATAATCAACAAGCAACAATATCCCGTCAAGGGAACAATTTAATAACTCTTTCTCTTTCTTTCACTCTTATTTGATATCTCACTTTACCACTTGAGCCAATGCTCCAAAGGGTTCAATCATTTCATGTTGGACTTTAAAGCATTGACTTTAAGCATTGGGCTTTAATGTCTAAGAGTGTGAATTGGAAATGGTGGGAAATAAAATGGAGGGAAATGAAAATTTGAATGAAGTGAGCTTTTGTCTTGAACTTTGTCCCTCATTGGTGAGGGACAACTACATTTGTGTGTATATATATAGAATCACCTCTTAAAGCTCTTAAAAGGAGTTCAAGAGAATGAACCCTTGCGCCGTCGTCATCGCTCGCTCGGCTCGGCTTCGGCTTTGGCTTTGGATTTGGATTTGGATTTGGATTTGGGTTTGTCAAATGATCGATCGATAAGATTATTTTTGGACAAAAATTATTTAATTAATTATTTAATAGTTAATTAAATGTCAGTTAGTTAGCCGTTGTCCGGGCGTGACTGCGGTAAGACCGAGCCAGAACACTGCTGTAGATTCAGAAGGCCACTCTGGCCGCGGCCCTGGCGTAACTGCGGCAGGACGCGTAAACTTCTGAACAGACACCTTTTCCAGAAAAAACATCACACCTCTTCCAATAATTGCCTATAAATTCTGAGGCATGGCTTCATTTTTAATACACTGAAAAATAACAGAACTTCCTTCTTTCTGAAAAATACTGCATTCTAATTCGCAGTCTCTCTCTCAAATTCGTAAGTGTGATTTTGCTCCGTTTTTTGAGTTTGTTGGTATCCTGCAGTTTGTATTGCCACTGTTGCAGGAAGGTTTATTCCGTTTCATCCTGGGAGGATTTAATCCATTACCTTGGCAACGTGTGAGGGGGTTAAAACTCCTTAAGGACACACAAGCAAATTGTGGACTCGGAATATTTCTTATTCTTTACTGTTTTCCAGTTTCTTTTATTCTTCTAACAGTTTTCTGATTTTGTGTTTTAACACAGTAGCGCTTCACAAGCTTAAGGAATTCTATCTAACATTTCTGTGTTGAAATATATATTATAAACTGTTATCTATATTTTGTATACTGCTTTGGAGATTAAAGCCTTCGTGCTTTCTACTCCAATAATTGTTCTGTCCGATTTAAAGTATATCAAAACTTTACCGAAATAATAAACGTACGGGTTTGAAGTATATAAAAACTTCACCATTGTTACGTGTTGTCTGTTTGGTTTGGTATTTAGCTTGAAGATATCAAAACTTTACTGATTTAACAAAGTTCTGCTTTGTTTCCAACTCTACAGAAAAATGATGACTGAAAACCAAACTAATGGAAATGTTGCGGGAACGGGTGCTACTGTTACGAATGTTGCTGCCTCGTTAAGCCGTTCAACTCCTGCTCATGCGATGGCACCAGCAGAAAAACCCGGAAAGTTTTCCGGTATCGACTTCAAACGTTGGCAAATGAAGATGCTCTTCTATCTTACTACGTTGAGTTTGCAGCGATTCATCAAGAAGGATCCTCCAGTCCTGGCTGAAAATACTCCAGATAACGAACGATTTGTTGTAACTGAAGCATGGAAACATTCTGATTTCTTGTGCAAAAACTACATTTTGAGTTGTTTGGAAGATAGCTTGTACAATGTCTATAGTGTCATGGAAACTTCAAAAGCGTTATGGAATGCGCTTGAGAAAAAGTACAAGACTGAGGATGCTGGACTTAAGAAGTTCGTGGCTGCGAGGTTTTTGGATTTCAAGATGATTGACACTAGGTCGGTCATAACTCAAGTCCAAGAATTACAAGTCATTGTGCATGACCTCCTTGCTGAAGGTATGACCCTCAATAAATTTATTAATAAGAGTTTTCTTGTTATTAATTATGAATTTATTATTGAAGGTATGGTCATAAATGAGGCCTTTCAAGTCGCCACTTTCATTGAGAAGTTACCTCCGTTGTGGAAGGACTTTAAGAACTATCTAAAACACAAGCGGAAGGAGATGACACTTGAAGACTTGATTGTTCGTTTGAGAATAGAAGAAGACAACAAAAATGCTGAAAAGAAGTCACGTAGAAACTCGACAATAATAAGGGCTAACATTGTTGAGGAGGCGCCACAAAATAAGAAGAGAAAGAAGGCTTCTGGACCAAAGATCTACCCAAGCAAGAAAAAGTTCAAGGGTAATTGCCACAACTGTGGAAAATCTGGGCATAAGGCCGTGGATTGTCGTGCACCAAAGAATGATAAAAAGAAGAAGAATCAAGCTAACATGGTTGAAAATGCTGAAGAAATGGAGGACTTGTGTGCCATGTTGTCTGAATGCAACTTGGTAGGAAATCCTAAAGAATGGTGGATAGATTCTGGAGCCACCCGCCATGTTTGTGCTAACAAGGAGATATTTTCTTCTTATGCCCCAGCAGGACCCGATGAGATAATTTTCATGGGAAATTCGTCTACAGCGAAAATTGAAGGAGTTGGCAAGATTGCATTGAAGATGACGTCGGGAAAAATAGTGACTCTAAACCAAGTTCTCCATGTTCCAGAAATTCACAAGAACCTTGTGTCTACCTCACTTCTTTTCAAGAATGGATTCAAATGTATTTTTGTTTCTAATAGTGTTGTACTAAGTAAGAATGATATGTATGTAGGAAAAGGTTACCTGAATGAGGGCCTTCTTAAGCTAAATGTAATAGCAGTACCTATCAATAAAGTTAATGCTTCTTCTTACTTACTTGAGTCAAACACTTTATGGCGTTCACGCTTAGGTCACGTCAACTTTAAAACATTGCGAAAAATGATAAATTTAGAAGTATTGCCAAAATTTGATTGCATTAGTTCCAAATGTCAAATATGTGTGGAATCAAAGTATGCTAAGCATCCTTATAAGTCCGTTGAAAGGAATTCAAGTCCTTTAGACTTAATTCACACAGATATTTGCAACATGAAGTCAACACCATCTCGCGGTGGGAAAAAGCATTTTATTACGTTTATTGACGATAACACGAGATATTGCTATGTTTATTTACTTAATAGTAAAGATGAGGCAATTGATGCTTTCAAGCAATACAAGAGTGAAGTTGAAACACAAGTAAACAAAAATATCAAAATGATAAGAAGTGATAGGGGTGGCGAATATGAATCTCCTTTTGAAGAAATATGTTTGGAAAATGGCATTATTCACCAAACAACTGCCCCTTACTCTCCACAATCTAATGGAATTGCGGACAGAAAGAATCGAACGTTGAAAGAGATGATGAATGCGTTGTTGATAAGTTCAGGTTTATCACAGAACTTGTGGGGGGAA